CGTTGAATCAATGAAAGCAGTTGAATCTTCTGTTTATTCAGCTGCAGCGATAGGCATTTCCTGGGTTTCTTCTGCGAGGCGTATTTGGAGTTTCAGCGCGAGAGCGCCCTCTGGCCTTTGGATGGAGATTTACTGCTGATCACAGAACCGTGCTTCACTGAAAGATACGCATGACAATCGCAGCTTCTGTCGAATCGCGATCTCGATTCCATTTCGATTTATCGTGCAACCCTAGTGCACAGTGTACACAGAGCGCCGCGTCTCAGACTACGTGCAAGCCTCATATTTCTTTACATGTCTTCTTGCGCTTGAATGGACAAATACATACAAAAGTATGTCAAAATACCGGTTTTGGTAAGTATCCTCGAAAGCGGTCTCTTATGTCTGTTAAGTGAACTTAACCAGTTGAGAAAGAAATCGGATTTGTATCATTATATTTGGTCCAAAAAAAAAGACAATCACCCACTGCTCTTGAGTGAATAACTTTTGTAGCTTTAAAAAGGATGAATCTATATTTAATTTATACCATGAAGAACATGCAATGTTATTTTACATATGATTATTAATTTCTGTACATGAACATTTACAAACCTGAAAACCTAAAGCATTGTTTAATTTCTATCTTTGTTCTGTTTATTTATTTGTGCTATTGCTTGTAAATTGTTCATTTGTTCTTTTTTACCGACTGTTCATTTTGTCTTTAATAATGTTTGAACTTTATATTTGTTAGGCTAGTAGTTTTTGCTGTGGTATCGAAATTGGAATTGAGAATTGTAAAATTTAACTGGTATTTAAAATTTTGGTGTCATATAAGCTTATTTATTAGAATACAATTTAACATGGGTCAAAAACAATGATAACAACAACCATTTTATTTTTTGCGGCAATGCCAGTGAAAATGTTGGTAGGGCAAGTAAAAATTTGAAAATACCTGAAGCACTTTATGCAGGCTGTGATGGATAAAAGTGTGATGTGGGGATTTAAAGGGGATAAATTAAAGATGAATGTTAAACATTAAAGTCAGCATGAAATGGAAGTTGCAAATTACATTTTTCCATATTGTGAGGTATTTCTGAGTAAAACAGCTTCTCAAACGAGAAAAAAAAATGTAGGATAGGAATGCACTAATAAATAAAAAAAAAAGTGATAATTTTGACATCATGGTGACTTAAAAACAATCACGAAATGATATGAACTTGCTAATTGGTTGGTCAAATAGTTGACCATTCTGACTAGAATAAATGAAAACTACCTCCAGCTGAATGTGGGTTCTGTGAGTGCTGTTCAAAAGTTTGGGATCAGTAAACATTTTTTTCTGAAAGAAGTCTCTTACGAAAAAAAAAAATCAGTAAAGATACAGTGTGGCTCCCAAACTAGATTTCAATCTGACCCCGCTAAATAGTGAGCATTAAGAGGTGCTGACAGAGACTCAACACTAACACTACCCACCAAGCCCTCAAATATGAATCATTGGAGAGACGTTTGCACACACATACAGATAAACAGATGCCCGGTTTCACACTCCTCTGCAGAGTGTATCACATACTGATAGCGAAATACATCTATCACCTGGTAGGCCAAGGCCTGAAAGAAATAAAAGGAAGCATATGTGCAGCTGGAGTTTTTTTCCTACGCTCTCCTTACCTCCTGACTGTGACATCGTTTGCTGTCAGGAGCATGCAGGATGAGGTCACATTATGAGGTGTGTGCTGCATGTGTAACGCTCACACATGATTTATTACTACAGTGAGGTCATCATAACACTGTGGACCCTGCCTATTAAAAAGACACACGTGACATGAACTGAGGCTCCTCGCTCTTCTGTATAATAACCAGTTTTTGATACCTAACTCAGATAATGGTATTTGGTCCAATAAACAACAATAATTGTTTCGGCCCTTCAGAAACTAGGCACTCACAGCCAAAATGGCCAATAAAAGGTGTCAATGTGCTGAGAATTGACTCCTGTGTCTATCTTTGTTTGGACTCTTTGTTCTTTCTCTTTGGAAATGCATGTCTCAGTGAAGTTAGTAACGGGAGCACTAGGATGGCACTATTTGTTTAGTGCTCTTCATCGGAGCGTGATGGGGGTCTTGGAGTCCTGCCTGCTGAGGTCAGGCCGTTTGTGTTTGGGTAGCCTTGTGGAAAAAGTGAGGGGGAATATGCTGTGGTGCTTACTCAAAATAATAAAAAATATTTGTATTTTGTGAGTCAGTGATGCTAGTACATCAAAAGCAGAACACAGCACAGTCACATTCGTTTAGAACTAAAATCCTGCTCCTCATTAATATTAAACATGAAACATGGATGACGAGAGGTTCCCTAAATGCTGTATAAAATATCTCTCAAGTTCTGGAAACAACTGTCTGGAACTACATGCTATTTGTTCTTAGTTTTATTTTTTCAGCACAAACTTGCTTTCACCGCTCTGATTGGCTGTAATTCTGCAAAATTTTTTGCTTTTAGTGTGGACACTGGACAGATTTATTGCCCAGTAGATTTATTGTTTGTCTCTGAAAACTTTTACATTCTACGTCTTAATCGAATGCAAGGTGATAAAAAGTCGAATGGTAACAGCTTTCCCATCCATCAACATTTTGCAGATCACTTGGTAGATCAGTCAGTCTAAGTAGCATTGTGCTGATTAACTCCACCCACTCTAAAACCTGATTGGTCCAAAACCCTGCTACAAGTGACAGTACAGTACAACAAATACGCTCTTCACCACTCTGATTGGCTGTGATTTTGTTATGTTTCAGGGCTTTTTCACTTTTTAGTCCTAACAAACAAATGACCTAAAGGAGTCGCCTAAAAATTACCTTAAAGTACCTAGAAAGTAGTCACATCATGTCTTGGTTAGGACTACACACCACTAAAAATTTTGGGGTTGGTAAGATTCTTTTAAATGTTTTTGAAAAAGTCTCTAATGCTCATGAACGCTGCATTTTTTTTTGATAACAGAAATATTGTGAAATGTTACAATTTAAAATAAATGTTTTCTACTTGAATATATTTAAAATATAATTTATTCCTGTGAAGGCAAAGCTGAATTTTCAGCAGCAATTACTCCAGTCTTCAGAAATCATTCTAATATGCTGATTTGGTGCTCCAGAAACATTTCTCATTATTATCAATTATCTCCATTATTGCTTTTTTCAGGATTCTTTAATGAACAAAATTTAAAAGAACAGCATTTATTTGAAATATAAATATTTTGCAACATTATAAATGTATTAGAGTCACTTTTGATCAATTGAATGTGTCCCAACTTTTGAATGGTGGAGAAGGTTAAAAAAGCAGACACAATTAAATCACAGTTCAGCTCTTGTAATCCCTATTTTCCACTTCATCTTTTATCTGAAACACTACTCGAATTGCACAAGAACTTCAAATGCTGTGAAATGTCTGAACAACATCTTGCTCCATCAAAACCACAAATAACACATCTGTTGGCAATCTTCAAATGCAACAAAATTAGTGAGCCCTTCCTTTAGTTGTGTTAGCATCCAAAACACCAATCATTCCAAATTCATAATCACAGATATTTCAATGTTTTTTTTTTTGCCTTATTCAGAAACCTAAAAGCACCCTTGAACTTGACAAACACAGCAAGGGTTATGATGCCCAATGAGAATGTACTGATAGGGGCATCCTTTTCCCACACACACTTTGAATCATCTCAGCATGGCCTCAGTGTTTCTATATGTGAAGCCATACGCACATTGCAACAGAAACCCTCCCACTGCTTCAGCTCTAGGAATGTGTTTTGTTTGGAGGCCTTTTTGGTGGTTTATTAGATCTTAAGAGGATGGCCTCCAAGAACTTTTTCACTTGGGATGACTGTCCTGCTGAAGCCAAGGATCGAGAGCGGGCCAAACAGGCTGTAACTCTTATTGCATAAGTCCCATTCCCTGAACACAACTGCATTTGTGATAAATAGTTTAAGACGACAACATTTTTCCACAAACGGAAAGAGGCGAAAGTAAAGGAAAATGTCTTGCTCTGCATCAAAATCACTGTGAGGTTTTCTTACCTCGACACGTCCTCTGGAAAGAAGAAATTATGGTTTGAATTTAACTTTTTTCCCCATTGGAAAGGTATGAATCGTGGTGACTTGGCACTTGCAATACGAACGAATATTTGGAAACTGATTAGAAAAAGCTAAATGGTATTTAAAAGACATTTGTGAACTTTGCTACAGGAAATGAATGGTTAACATGGAGAAAAATGGAGAAAAGCAATTTTTGGGTTAACAATGTAGGTAATGATAATGTCTGCATATACTCAAATATAAAACAAACAAAAAAGTAATTACGTCTGAAAATACTCTTATAAGCAACTAGGGACAGCCCTCTGTTGTACTTATTGTCTTCTGTCTGTTTTGACCACCAATGATCACAAGTGTGACCCCAGTTATGACTACCAGAGGGTTAACAGAATATAATATTTGAAGCCATCTTTGTTGTGCTGTCCAAAGCACACAAAACGATTAAGTCAGAATATAGAACACTAAGAAGTCTTTCTGGGTTGCGACATGTCTGAAAATTAATATGATAATTGGGACTTTAAACTAATGAGAAAACTCTTAAATTATCTCGTTTTGAAACTACCTGTACGTTTATTTAGTATATTGCATGAATGTTTTAAATCAGAAGGAACCTACTAATAGTACAAACATTTCAGTGAACCTTTTGCTAAAAACCGTAATATATTTCCCAGATAAATCTGACATATTGACTGACATGACCTATCAGGGTTTGACTGTCCAGTTCGCGAACTACAGTAACCACCATCCCTACTACAATGTTTCATAACAACACGAGAAACATAAAATCCGGCTAAACGCAAAAATATGACCAATTTATGCACTCTGCGACATCCTGTTTCATCATTCCAGTGTTTGTCACAGCATGGTTGTGAGTTTACAGGCTAACCGCTAATGCTAACAGGATGTGCTACTTCAACAGGATGCGAGCAGAAATAAATGTCTAATTTATTACCTTGGCTCCCTCCTTTCGGTCTGTATGAGCGTCCGTCAGGGTAGACGATCTTCTGGGTAGTGTTCAGAGGTAGATAACAAAGGGTATTCCGGAGTTTTAGGTGGTGTTGCATCGTTTCATGCTACACAGATGGCTGGCCACTGCAAACAGCGCGACTGACAGACTATAGGCAAACACACAGTAGATCACATCACCACACACTCTCTGCGCCCACCTACCACATGTGTTTCCATAGTACAGCTGTGCAGCATGAAATATTCATTCTGTTAAGCTGCCTGAAAACAACCAACAACCAAAACTACCTGCATTAACCTGCCATACTAATACATATATAAATCTACAGCAGTAGTCTATATCCACAGATACGATAAACTGTTCCGATCCCTGTCTTCTTTTCTAATCTGACTTGTTTCTGCTCTATGTCTTAAATTTCCAATCATTTGCCCGAATGTATTGTATGAGTCATTGGAGTTAAGTATGAATCATTCCTGCACTGAAGATACAGCAGCATTAGCCATAATACACTTTGACATTATTGAAACAAAGCATACGCACCAGTTCACTTAGCCTAAGTTTATTATGTATGTGGGTGTTTTATCTTCGTTGTTCTGTCCAAAGCACACAATGTCGATTTTAATAATTTAGTACATTAAGCCTTACTGGGTTACTACATGTCTGAAAGTGGAATGGATATGAAAATTAGGACTTTACACTAAAAAGGTAGGAAAAAGCTCTTTAAAACTCTTAACTCTTCAATTTTTTTAAGGAGTCACTGAAAGGAGGTGCACAGCCGCTCAAACATTTAAGGTCAATAGGATTAAAAAATAATAATTAATTAATACCTTTATTAAGAAATGATTAATTCAACTGACCAAAAGTGACAGTAAATACATAAATACGTTTATGTTACAAAGTATTTATACTTCAAATAAATGCTGTTCTTTCGAACAGCTCATCAAAGAATCATGGAAAAATGTGTTTTTTGTGTTTCCACAAAAATATTAAGCAGCACAACTATTTTCAACATTGATAATAATAAGAAATGTTTCTTGAGCAACAAATCAGCATTTTAGAATAATGCTGTTTTAGATTATTCTGATAATGTTTTAGAATGAACCTTGGTAAGCATAGGATAACTTTTTTTTTCTTTTCAAAATTATCAAAACTATAACATTATCTTAATTTTTTTTAATCAGCAGGAAAAACATGAATATTAAATTAG